ATACCTATTCATTAATCCAGTTCCCCTGTGGGGAAACATAGACATGAATTTCACCAAATTTTTTTTTTTCTTTGAAAGACTTAGAATAGTATTAGACCTTTATGGGACTATTGCAGGCACTTAGTAAATGTTCCTTGAGTAGATTATAGAATCTCATTTTATAGATGAGGTAACCCAGAGCCAGAGAGGTTTACTTCATTTCCCAAGATCGTATAGTTAGTGGCAGGGTATAGATGAGAATCTGCAAGTCTTCATTCTCCTTTTGGTGCTCTATACTCTCCTTTCTGTGGCTATAATTAGTTTACCTGCTTTAAAGTTAAAGTTAAATTGATTTCGGAGAATAATTATAATAGGGTAACATTTTTGAGGACTCACTGTATGCTAGGTATTGTGTTAGGCATGTTATTATATACACGTTTTCTCCTTTAGTCCTTGTAGTGACCCTGTGTTGTAGTGATTACTGTTTTGCAGATGGAGAAACTGAGACATAGGAGGTTAAATGATTTGTTCAGTGTCAAAGACCTAGTAAGGGGAAGAGCCCACTTTGTGCTCTTCCCCATTACAGTGGAAGCAGTCAAGTTGATCACTGCATGACTGAGAAATGCTTCAAGTTACCTACATGTAAGCCTTGAGGCTCTAAACAATGTGCTTCTTGGTTTTTGGGAACAATTCGTATATGTGTGTGTGTGTGCTGTTTTAGAGATTGAGAGAATTCTGGGAAAATCTTTGGAGTTCCCAAATATGGAGATAATATATTTCACTTTTTATAAGTGAGATTGATATAAATATGAAACCAAAAATTATGCTTGTACCAATAAAATGTCAGACTGGGTTTTTTTGTTTCTTTTTACTTGAAGAATTTCTTCAGTTTGGAAAGTGGAGAGTTTTGATTATTTACTTATTTCTGTCATGTGTTTCATTTAAATTCTCTTGAGGAATATTAGGAAATCTTGGTTTACTGACTTAAAGGTTTATTTTACATGTTTTGTTGTTTTAGTTTTACTGATTTGAAGGTTTACTTTAAAGGTTTTGTTGTTGTTGTTTTAAATGTGAACTAAAAGAGTCCATGCAGCTTTGGTTAGATTTGTATTAGTTTTGGAGTCATTTCCTAACTCATTCATATCCTGCCTCCCATAATTTCTAACAATATAAACAATGTATGAGGCACTAAATTAATTATATTGAGTATGTTAAAATGTAGCTTACATATTCTGTTCTCAAAATGTCTCAAATTGTGCAAATTTTTAAACTTTAAATTATGGACATTAAAACAATCACTACACTTTACTAATAATACTAATGCATATTTATTTTGGGATGTAAAAGCAATTTAATGACATATTAACTGTCAAGAAAACTTCTATTTTTTTCTTATTTGAAAAAACACTTTTATTTAAATCATAATAAACTTGGCCAGAGGGCAAATTGATGTGTCTAAGATTTTTTCCACTTTTTAATTTTAATGCTTGTATTGCATATTTACATTTTTGCTTATTTGTCTTTCAGTTAGGGGCACATTTTGTGCCATACACACATACATAGACATGTATATATGATGTATACAAAAACATGTTAATGACTCTAGGAGAAGGGCTTGACTGATAATTTTTCTTCCTTTGAAGAAGTGATTGGGAAGTGACCTTCTGGCTGCTACCATGGCAAAAGATCAGGAACAACTACTATTGCTGAAACAAATAACAGGCACCCTCCTTTAAAGCAATCAGTGAAAACTAAATATTTTTAAATTACAATAAAACAATTTGATTTTAGAGATAGTCATTAAGCAACTTTCTGAGATAATGTCACTTTAAATAATTACAACATGATTGGTAACATATTTATGCTTTATACTTTTAATTCTTTTGTTTGTAGGCCACAGACAATTAAAAGACCTTTAAATCCTTTGGCTTCTGGTCAAGGTGAGTTATTTATTTGTATTGTTATATTGTTTATCAGCCAGTGAACTTTGATTAGAAGGAGGGAGAGAAGGCGAGATAAATGGCAAAAGCAGTTGAGGTCAAGCAATCCACAGTCCGGTTTTCATAGACGTTAGGCCTTGCTCTTACAGAGATTGATGTTTAAAATATTTGTACTTCAGTAAGGGGTATTTTTGTAATGAAGCTCATGGTATTAGAATATCACAGGATGAAGATTGGGATATATATTTATTCTTTTGTACATTATTATAGACACATTAAAGTGTATGTTCAGTTTTTAAATTTTTGCTCATCTTCCAGATAAATATCAAGACTTATTAAAATATCAAAGACCTATTAAATTTTCCCTAAAACTTGAAATTACTGCATCTATTGGGAGTCTGATTTCAAATTCACACGTCTTTTTTTTTTTTTTTTTTTTTTTTTAGATAGGGTCTTACTCTTGCCCAGGCTGGTCTTGAATTCCTGACCTCAAGTGATCTTCTTGCCTTGGACTCCCAAAGTGCTAGGATTACAGGCATGAGCCAGTGTGCCAGGCCCCAAATTCACATCTTTATATCTTATTAACATTTTTCACTTTCTCCTTATACTCAAGGTCTGGCCCAAATGCTGCTTTTTCCACAAAACTTCCCCTGGTCCTTATACCCAGAAGTAATCTCTCCCTGCTCAAGAAGTATTCTTATGCATGTTTTGTTTTCCTGTTGTAGCCTTTTCCACTGTGTGGCATTATTTTATTATTATTTATATCTCTACTGATTCACCCTAATACTTTGAGCATATGGGCAGCATTTATCTGTTTCATCTGATAATAGAGAGCCTGACACATAATAGATGGAGTAGTTTGTTAGATAAATGATAATTGAAAATTGCTCTTCTTATTGAATGGTTTTGTCTACAATAGTGAAAATCCCTTGTTCGTTCAACAAATGATTATCCACCATTTACTATGTCCTAGGCACTGTGTAGGTGCCAGAGGGGATGTAAAGTTGAAACTCATAAACCTTGCCCAGTCTGTAATATACAGAATACTTTGTTGGAGAAACCATTTCAGGGTATGATTTCAGATTTTTTCGTTAGAAAATATATATCCCTGTTCCCTTTGAATAGGTGCTTACTGATAAAATCTGTGCATTTAGCAAATGTGTAAGATTTTCATTTTTAAAATTTATTTGAAAAGATGCTGATCTCATGTAGTCAATAAATGTAAATTTCATCCTGGAAAGCAATGAGATTGCATCACTCCCTAAATGCTGGCAGACTTCTCTCTCTCAGGTTAGGAATGAAAGAACAAAAGCCTTTATACAAGGCTTTTCGGTTTGTACAGTCACATGTGGTGACTCAGTGAAAGCTATTGATTTAATATCAGATGAGTGCAAATTCATAGAAAAGAGGGGATCTTCACTATAAACTCACATTATGATTTGATGAATTAATTAACCACCCTCACCTTAAAAACAATTTAATTAACCACCCTCACCTTAAAGACATATGGGAACAATGTAAATGTTTATCTTTAGGGAACTGATTAAATGACTTATGATATGGTCACATCCAAGAATACAGCCTTATAAAGGTTGCTGTAAGTTTGTATTGTTTTAAATCAAAAGTGACCAACAGCACATTGAGGATAAGAAGCAGGTATCAAAACAATATGTATATTTTTATTAAAATGTAATTAATATAATCTAAATGTCTATATACAAGGAAAAGGACATTTACCAAAATGTACATGTTGTTTATCTTTATTCGGGGGGTAGATTATAGATAATTTTTATTTCATCTGTGTCTTTTTTTTAAAGCATATATTTGCAATGAGTATATATTACCATAATAAACAATAAGGGCATTAAAGAAAAGTGGGCAAAATGAAGACAATTTTTCAATAGTAAATAAGCAGTTGCATACAAACTGCTGCATTATGTATTGTATAATTTGAATCTTACAAATAGTCTTTGAAAATATTTCTGACTATAGTATTTATAATGCCTGTCTGGAAGTTTCAAAGCAATAATACAAATCTTTAACAGAAACTATATTATAGTTTTAGAATAAATACATGTGGAAAAAGGCTCTGCCAGCCAAATAAACATAAGTCCTTAAGATATTTAAGGGTACTCTCAGGTCAGGTGCAATATCTCATGCCTGTAATCCTAGCACTTTGGGAGGCCGAGGTGGGAGGATCACTTGAGGCCAGGAGTTTGAGACCAGCCTGGGCAACATAGCAAGACCCCTTTATCTACAAAAAATTAAAAAAATTAGCCAGGAATGGTAGCGTGTGTCTTAGTCTCAGCTACTCGGGAGGCTGAGGCAGGAGGATCACTTGAGCCCAGGAGTTTGAGATTGCAGTGAGCTATGATCACCACTGCACTGTAGCCCAGGCAACAGGGCGAGAACCTGTCTCAAAAAAAAAAAAAAAAGAGTATTCTCAGATGATGGATTAGATTTTTCTCTCCTGTCAGCCCATATTACATCTAATGTGAGCTGAAACTCTTTATGCACACTCCTGGAGGTAACGCCAGTTAGTCAAATCAGGCATAAGTCATATCAGTAGATAGAGTTGCAGTCACGAGTGTCTCATTCTCAGATTTTACTTGTGTGAATGAACTGATGGACTAAAACCAACCATTATTAAAAAAATCTTGTTTTTATGAGAGTACAACATTATAAAAGGGACAGCTGGAAGGAGTTTATAATAATAAATGTTTTGTTTTGCTTTTCAGGGAAAAGTAAAGGTAAGTATAACTTTTATCATATATTACATATATCAATTTGCTTATACATTCAGATGTTTATTATGGCAAACTTTATTTTTTCTTCTGACCTCTGAGACTCAGAAGAGCTTAATTTTTATTTCTTTATCTAAAATTCTAGAGGTACAAACAGGTTAATGGGAAGTGACATTTTGTGTCTGGGCTCAGGCATTAGAGACAGCCTGCCTCAGCCTCTGATAATTCAGTCGCACATTTTACCCACTGAACGTGGAGGCCTGGGCATATCCACCTCACCATCTTCTCCACTGCCTCTGGCAGGGAAAACGTCCTCTTCAGTCCTTTACTGTTGAACTCTCAGATCTGCTGGGTCTCATATAGGAAGTTTCTGGGTGTGATCACAGTGTTGATTCCAGAGCTGGCTTCTAAGGCTTATGCTGACTCTTGGATGTAGGTATCATTGCCAAGTCCAAGTTAATAATAATGCTAAAAATTTTAACATGTGTTAGGTTTACTTTGTCTTCTTGAGAATCTTTTTGCTTTAAGGGTGAAATTGAAATGACTTTTGTTATTCTTAAGACCATATGCTTGACAATGTGAAAAGAATCAGTGCCTTAGCTTTAGTCCATCTACATGAAATTGCTAAAATGTGAAGTATCACTTTTCTCTCCCTCAAAATCCCTTGACTTTTGAACATTGTTTTTATGAATTGCTTTTGTGCTATGTCTAAATAACATAATATTAAAGTCTGGTAACATTGCTATTTTATTATTGTACTTTTAGTAACCATAGCAGCTAAATAAAATATGTATCAGAACTGTACTGTTTGGAAGAGAAATTGCTTAGCAGTAAGATTCTTTTTCCACAGATGCCTCATATTTGTTACTGGTAGAAGTGATTCTATAATTTTCAGTTTTGAATAACCTTATTCTACCTTGGGCACTAATCTAGTTCCAGGCTATATTCTAACTACATTAGAAGAGGCTACTTTGGTTTGTCAGTACTATTTGAAGACAGCCCATCTGTTGTTATCAAAAAAAGATTGTTAACCTGTGGGAGCTATCCTTAGAGAAACTATCTTATTTATAAGTATTAATTTTGGCCAAATATCAAAAAGTTATTCCAGAGAGCTGTCAAATTAATCTGCTGTCATTCTTGACAGGTGATTATTTAGACCACAGTCAGGTCAAAGTTGAGAATAGCTACATCAGGATTATAGAAATGAACTGAAAATTTCATCTGAAGGCTAGGTCTTAAGTAGTTTTATCCCC